GGCATATAAAATATTTGAGTAAATGTACTGTGATGCCACAGTCATGATACCAGTCTCCTTAAACTTTTCTCTGAGAGATACCCGAGAGCCTAGACGGTACACAGAACGAATCGCTCGTTTTTGCAATACAAATATGGTTTGAATATCTGCCGCTTTACCCCACGTGAGAATCCCGTGGGACATTATACTATGGAAGTAACTAAAGTAAACTGGTCTAGCAGTACTAACATCGGTAAACTCACGTATTCTGCGGACTGCGTATGCAGCGGAGCTTAATCTGCTGGCCAGGGAAGATATATGTGGAAACCATTGAAGTTTACTATCTAAGGTCACTCCCAAGAAGACTGCTTTATTAACAAGGTCTAACTTTTCTCCGTTTATTTCTATGCTTGGACTAGTCGATTTTACGTTAGGTAATTCAAATTTAACACATTTTGTCATTAAACGGGTGCGGTTCGTAATATAATTAGAGCATGGAAAAAAAATAAAAGAAAGGAGCTGCCCTAACTACGGAATGAACGTGCACACCTAAACAAAAATTGAACGAACAAATGGCGGATTTCTCTAGTGTCGTACCATGATCTATAGATAAGTCATTATCGACATGCAAACATTTAATTAATGTAGATTTCAGATACCATTTGGGAATATTTTAGGTTATTATGAGAAAATCTAGGAATGTCACATGAAATTTTGAATTTATGTTTTGTGTTTACAAATATTCAAATATTACGAAAAGTGAATTTGCACAGAATAAAATAATATTTGTAATTTGAGAGTTTGTAAAAAAAAGAAAACTTTAAAATATAAATCCTATACATTTACAATTTCAAGATTCTTATTTTCATAGAGAAATTTTTAAACAGATTCCAAATAGTATTTTTTTGTATTTATGCATTAGTATAGAATTAATATCAGTGACTGATTTAAGTGAATTTTGAATACTTCCATTTAATTTTGGAAATAAATGAAAGTAGTAATATTATCAATAATGAAATTATTATCGTACGCTTATTTGCTTAAAACATGGTATAACATGAGATGTAACAAAAGACAGTGTTATAAAAACATGTTTCGCATATGTTAAATAGCATGCAAATGTCTGATTATACGATGTCAATTGACTACTTATTGACCGAGCGCCTTTGATTTGTGCAGAAAAATCGACACTTCTCCGAAGTGAGACAAGTAGTCACGAGCGACTGCGAGTTGTGACAAGCCACGTCAACCGAGCTCTATACAGGTTAGCGCTCGCCTTCACTCGGTCAGCTAGGCGAGTGACACCGAACGATGGCAAGGCAAATAGGCTGTCTATACGTTGCTATTGGCCTTCACCCGGCAACGTCAGACCAACATGGTCTTTATAATGCTGACTTTATAAAATAAGAATTTTTAGTAGTTAGAGTCGTCAGTGAGAAAACGAGTGGATAATTTTGTTTTCAGGAACTGTAAATGAGTCGTGTTTAACCTAAATTAAATATAAAATTATTTACCAACAAACCTAATGATGGGATTGCATTATCATGTAATCTAGTTACATTCAAAGTTATGTTAAAATTTGACTCTTCAAAATGAAGCGAATAAAATATGAAGATGGTCCTTGATTCAATGTTTATATTCGGCACTATTATACGGCGGTATGATTTCCATTTTCTTCTTTTTTTATTTGTAGGTAAACTTGAAATAGTAAAAATAATAATAATAAAATAACAAAAACCTCGTAGTGAATTATTTTAATAACAGAATATCGATAATATGTACGCTACCAAGAACAACACTGTTATGTATGTAGGTATGTGTGGCTGCGCCCACCACCAGTTCATATTATAATAAATCAGTGCAAAGCTAACCAGCGATCGTTTCACTTGTCAACGCAGCTCCGTTCCGTATATTTAACAGTGGCGACGAACTACCCGCAACAAAAAAAAAATATTGTGCAAAATGGCGAATATTAGTGCTCAGTTCGGGATTTTAAATAGTTTCGATCACAATACACACACATGGAAAACGTATAAAGGTCGTATTGGGCAATATTTCGTAGCAAATAATTTTAATGAATCGACGGATCCTGAGGGCAAGAGAAGAAAGGCGATCCTGCTAAGCGCACTCACAGAGGGTACCTACAAGCTAGCAACGGACCTGACTTTACCCAAGGAAATCGACGACGTGCCCTACGAAGATTTATTAAATCTTTTAGACACTCACTTCACACCAAAGAGTGTCGGGTTTGGTGAGCGTCACAACTTTTACGCGGCCGCTCAACAAGTGGGTGAAACCCATTCTCAGTGGGCAGCGAGATTACGAGGTCTGACTGCAAAGTGTGGCTTCCTCAATGTCGAAGAGGCGCTGCGCGACAAGTTCATAATGGGCATGCTACCGGGACGAGAAAAAGAAGAGCTGTACGCAAAGGATTTAGCCGGTCTCACGCTAGCCAAGGTCGTGGAGACCGCGGAGAACCATGTCAGGGCACGGAGCGCCGCGGCCGCAAGCTCCGCCGCCGGCGGCGCCGGCCTAGCGAGCGCGTCCCATGATCAGTTGTTCAAGATCTCAAACAACGGGAATCGTGGAAGTGTAGGCAAAGTAAAGTGTAGTGTTTGTGGGTTTACGAATCATAAGTCCTCGGAGTGTAAATTTGCAAATTACATTTGCAAAAAGTGTCACGTGAAAGGCCATTTGCGTAAAATGTGTTCTAAAGTGAATTACGTAAAGGTGGATTGCGGTGGCCAGGGTGAGGATGACGAAAGCGATGACGGTGAGCTTTATTACATTCGTTCATTTAGGGGTGCACCCATGGTAGAAACAGTTCTAATTAAAAATAGACCGTTTCAATTTGAAATAGACAGTGGGTCAACAGTAACTGTAGTGTCGGAGGTCTTGTATAAAACTCATTTTAAAGATGTGCCGTTATCCAATACTATGAAACAGCTGATGACGTACAATGGAAAGAAAATTGAATGTGTAGGTATATTTCGTTTGCCGATAAGTTATGCGGGACAAACTCACGTTATTGTCTTTTATGTAATACGTGACGGAGGCCCGCCTCTTCTGGGTAGGGATTTTATATCAGCGTTTAATTTGCAATTGGTACCGGTGAATTTTTGTGTGGATTCTGTACCACCTGTTGAATTGTTGCAACAACAATATTCAGAGCTGTTTTCGGACAAATTAGGCACTTTTAACAAGTACAAAATTAAGTTGTTGTTGAAAGATAATGCTAAACCGGTTTTCTGCAAGGCACGTCCCGTCGCATTCGCTTTGCGCGATAAGGTCAATCACGAAATTGACAGGTTGGTCCGGTTAGGTATTATTGAGCCTGTCGAGCACTCAGAATACGCATCTCCGATAGTTCCAGTTCTTAAAAAGAATGGGTCAGTCAGATTGTGTGCCGATTACTCTAGAACTATAAACAAACAGCTGCAGGTGGAAAAATATCCACTTCCCACAACTAGTGAACTGTTTTCTAAAATACATGGGGGTCAACACTTTAGTAAATTAGATTTATCTATGGCATATAACCAGTTTGTTTTAGATAACGAGTCAAAAAATCTTACTTGCATAAATACAAACCGTGGGTTATATACTTTCTCTCGATTAGTATTTGGGTTAGCCAGCGCACCCTCCATTTTTCAACGCGCAATCGAAGGGGTGCTTTCAGGTCTAGATGGCGTATTATGTCTATTAGATGACATTTTGGTCACTGGTAAGGACTGGAAGGAGCATCTTGAAAGGCTGAATGCTGTGCTGAAGCGGCTGCAGGACGCAGGCCTTACATTACAAAAAGAAAAATGTAGATTTTTTCAGGATAAAGTTCATTATCTTGGCTATATCATTACGAAAGACGGGTTGAAGAAAGCACCGGAAAAAATTAAGGCCATGGTTGAAGCACCAGTTCCGAAAAATGTTAGTGAGTTGCAGTCATTCCTAGGGCTCATAAACTATTATAGGAATTTTGTACGAAATGCATCCGCAATCCTCAGTCCTTTATATGAATTATTGAAAAAGGGTTGTAAATGGGACTGGAATGAAGTTCATGATACGGCATTTCGAGAAATTAAAAAAGTTATGACATCGGAACAGGTTCTTACACATTTCGATTCAAGTGCGACGATCATTTTAACCGTCGACGCTTCTCCTAAGGGGTTGGGAGCTATTCTTTCTCAAATAGGTAAAGACGGTGTAGAACGACCCTTATCTTTCATGTCGCGTACGTTAAATGCGGCGGAAAGGCGATATGCTCAAATACAGAAAGAGGCAACTGCAATAATTTATGGCGTGCGACGATTCCATCAATATTTGTATGGCAGAAGCGAACCTTTCATATTACGAACGGACCACAAGCCACTTCTGTCCATTTTCGGGCCACATAAGGGCATTCCAGAGATGTCTGCAAATAGATTACAACGGTACGCTTTGTTTCTGAGTAGCTATAACTACAAAATAGAATACGTTCGCAGCGCTGATAACAGTGCGGACTACCTGTCGCGCGCGAGCCTGCCGAGAGAAGTGCACGAGTGCGCGTGCACCGAACAATGCAAGTGCTGCGATTGCGAGGTAGCATATGACCGGGCGACCTATGTCTGTTTCGTAGTAGACGGCAGCATGCCCGTCACTTTACACAGATTACGCGAAGAAACAAAATCGGACATAGTCTTACGTCTAGTCATTAACTGCATTATGAAAGGCTGGCCGCCTAAAGTTGATGATATTCGGTTAAAACCGTATCATTTGTGTAGATCACAACTGTCTTATGAGAATGGATGCGTAATGAGAGGTCATAAGGTCGTCATCCCCGCGAGTTTACACCAGACAATGTTAAAAGAATTACATTCGTCGCATTTAGGTATAGTTAAAACAAAGGGCGAGGCTCGTTCTAGATTTTGGTTTCCAGGAATTGACCAAGCGGTGGAAACCATGATAGGTACGTGTGATGTGTGCATTCAGTTGCGCCCCTCGCCGCCCCGCGCCCCGCTGACTCCGTGGGAGTACCCAGCTCGATCATTTGATAGAATTCACATAGATTTCCTTGGTCCAATTAAAGGTTGTGTATACTTAGTAGCAGTAGACGCACATACTAAGTGGGTAGAGGTATACAATATGAAAACGTCCACGTCATCAGCGGCAGTGATTTTAAAATTATGTGAATTTATGTCTAGATTCGGTGTTCCTAAAACGATTGTTAGTGATAACGGCACAGCTTTTTGTTCGCGGGAATTTGAGTTGTTTTGTTCAACAAACGGGATTTCGCATATGACGTCACCGGTCTACCACCCGTCGAGCAACGGCCAGGCCGAAAGTTTTGTAAAAATTGTGAAAAGGGGAATAAAGTCGTGTCTTTTGTGGGATCTCAACGCGGGGGATACGTGGACAAAATTACTGAAATACCTAATGGATTACCGTAACTCTGTTAACACTACCACGGGGCTGTCTCCGGCTCAACTGGTATTCGGTCACAAGTTAAGATCTAGATTAGATTTGATTGATCCAAACTCATCGGCACCCTCGCCACCGCCGTCGCCTGATATAATAAATAACCAACAGTGTACACGAAATAAGGAAGGGAAAACCAGAGTTAAAAAATTAAAGAAAAACGACATTGTACTGTACAAAAAATTTATTAATAAAACAAAGTATACATGGTGTAAAGGAATCGTACAGAAAAAATTAGGAAATGTTCTATATTTAGTGAAAGATATCGATAGTTCGGAAATGTATAAAAGACACATAAATCAATTAATGTTGTACAAAGGGACTAGTAACAATTATTGGGACTCGGTACATAGTTCAAATGTAAACTTACCTGTTGCGTCACCGCCGCCGCCGCTGCCGCCGCCACAGTCGCCTCCGCCGCCGCCGCCGCCGCCGTCTTCGCCGCTGTCGTCTCTTACACCGCTGTCCTCGTCGGAACCATTATCGCTGTCTCCCGAATCACCGGAACCCCAGGTTGAACTCCCATCACCGAATATTGCTTCACAGTCAGCCAGTGGAAGGAGAGCCGAACTGTATGTGCCGAGCGATTCTCCATGGTCGGGAGAGGACGAATATGCGAGCGGAACTCTACAGAGGGACGATGAGATGCTAGCTGATTCCGTCTGCGCTACTGCGAGACAATCGAATTCCGACGATGAGTTCTACGAAGCGGAAGCCGAAGTCGATACCCGGGACAAGCCACAGGGTCCCGGAGTTGTACCAAAAAGATTGTTACGCCCACGTCCCATTGTGTCTTATAAAAAGTACTTTTAATATTTGTATTAATTTAGGTTATTATAATAGAGGGAGGAATGTTATGTATGTAGGTATGTGTGGCTGCGCCCACCACCAGTTCATATTATAATAAATCAGTGCAAAGCTAACCAGCGATCGTTTCACTTGTCAACGCAGCTCCGTTCCGTATATTTAACAAACACTATCTCAAAATAATCGTTAACAACAGTCTAAAAAATATACAAACAAAAAGGCAATCTGAAGAAACCAAAGCAAAATTTGGCAAGATTTGTGAATAAACTACTTAAATATGTCTAATTACATGAGATATTTGGGCTTTTGCGTGATTTATAGACAGAAAAATGACACGTGTCTGTACAATGTTACATTCGGTCGATCTTCGCTTTTTCAAATGCCACATCCCGTAATGCAGCAGCGACGAATTTTTATTAATACTTAATTGTTCTCACTGTCAATATTTTTGTCCATTTTATTACAATATATGCGAACAATTCAATAAAGCACTTGGAAAAACATTTGTTTTGACATTTGATGTACTTCCCTTTGACAACCGTATCATGTACTTCATGTACTGTGAAATGGACACGGTTGGCATTTAAGATGACGTTACGTATTTTCGATTCCCGTGTTTGACACAGACCAATGTAATGCTATCTCTTTTGGCTTAAGACGGCACGCAACAGTTAAACAAAGACAATAAAATGTTTACGTTTTCGACGTCGAAATGCATCATATACATATAACGTCTGATTTATATATATCAACATAACATGTCCTTTAGTTTCCATCGTCTAAGGTAATATAAATTATATAGGGTGGCCGCAGTGGAGATGAAGTAAAGACGAGAAAATATGATGTATAACTATATTAAATATTTCTAAAATATTAAGTATTTCTTAAACTAAATAATTTTAAGAACGTCCGAAGTTAGGTACGTTAGGTCTAAAAGTACTTATACGAAAAAGATCTTAACTAAAGGAATTTAGTCTACGTCCGATGTTAGGAACGTTGGGCCGAAAAGTGTCTCATAATTATAATTAAAATGACGAGTTTTGCATCGGTCAAGTTGCAATGCAAGTGCATTGAACTGACGTTTTAGGTATGTGTGTTATGCAAATCTGGATACATAACATATATAACAACAAATTACATATTTTTAGTCGACATAACACTCAACAGATATAATTAGTTTATAGTATACAGACATTTGACATATTCTTGCATTATATAAAGGAGTTTTTATTAATAAAAAATATTATTCTGCATTGCTAAATAAATACTCTCCGTACTGCCAACAAAAACATCTCAAATAAAATGCAGTAATAATAGTATAGTTTATAAACATTTATATTCAGGGTAAACTTAAAAAACGCTACTTACTATAATAAACACTGAAATCACCAGCCCAAACAATAAACATATACGATTGTCGTGACGTATTTTTGAAGTTGTTTATTTTTTTTAAATGACAGACCCAGGCATTAAAAACTTTATGGTTTGCTAGAGTAGTTACCGAAATAGCAATTAATATTAGTTCTTTTACCTGTTATTACTTCGACACCTCTAGGTGTGATATACGTCTACGGCTGCATGTATCGCGTGAGCGGTTAATAGACGATTGATATAACAACTTTCAATCTAATATACTGTTGGCATAATATTTATTTTATATAAACTAAAACTTCAGATATAACATTCACGGAGTATGTTTTAACGTAATATAATAAAAGCAATTAAATATTCTGCTTAAAGTTTTATAACGCAATATTTTATAACGCAAAAATCACTTTAAGCTATACAAAAACAATTATATTTTGTGATTGCATTTCATGAAATAAACAAATTCTTATCAACATAAAATAGGGCGCTTCTACTCTCGTTAAACGATATATTCTGTTATATTATTTAACGCATTATACTGGTAGTACTTACACCATTTGTTCATTATGTCACTTAATCATTATATCTAATGTTTGTTATACTGAAGGTTTATTATACACTTTGAAATTATGTCTTTTGTTGTAATATTTTTTATTGATTATAATACAGTGAGTGATTATATCCTTAGAAATTATATCAAATGTTGTTATACAAAATAAAAATAGATTATTTTGTTATATCTTCCATGTGTGGTGTGTACACCCGTTTTAAAATATTTGGAAATATTTTCTAGTGAAACGCTCGACGAACAAGAGAAAATTATGTAAATCTCGTAACGGTAATGGATTTCAATGATTTGCGAACACCCATGCAAATTTAGCCCGTACATACATACATTGCTCATTTCTATAATCTATAAAACATTATTTCTATTAAACTATATTTCTTACCACCCTGTTTGCTTATCGGAATTAACGTCTCTTGTTTCTTGAGGTTATTTAGCAGTTGATCGCTGATGGCTTTCATAGCGCCACTAGACCGAGCGTACTCTCCTGGACGAACTCTTACACAAGGAGCTCTATATTTATTTCTCTATATTCATTATTATTAGTCATACGATCAGGTATTACACAGATAGGAAAACCGCGTGTATGCCTGTTTCCTCGACTTGTCGAAAGCTTTTGATCAAGTCAACTATGATCTGCTCTGGTAAAAACTTGGTGAGATGGGCATGCCGGAATAATATGTGGCTGTTCTTGAGCATTGGTACATTAATCAGAAAACTCAAGTTAGATGGGCAAATAAATTGTCTAGTGAGTACAAGCTTGAATGTGGGTGAAACAGGGGGGAATTACGTCACCGAAGTTATTTAATTTGTACGTCAACGAGTTGATAGTCGGGCTCAGCATGCATGCATGCATGGGATGTTATGTAGGAAGTACTTGTACTAATAACTTAAGTTTTGCCGATGACATGGTGCTGCTTAGCCCTTCGTTGGCGCGTTGGCACAGTTGCTTGCGACTTGTGAGGCATATGGACTAGAACTCCAGAGTATAACCCGAAGAAAAGCGAGGTTATGGTATTCAAGGCGAGTAAAGTAAAGTCATACTATATTTCTCCTATTGTGTTGACTAATATTCCGTTGAAGGTCGTAGACAGGGTCAAATATCTTGGTCATATTCTCACGAGTGATCTGAACGATGATCAGGATATGGAAAGGGAGTGTAGGGCGTTAGCGGTTCGAAGTAATATGCTTTGCTCGATGCTCATGTAAAGTTAAAATAACGCTATTTAAAGCCTACAGCCAATCTTTCTACTCAAGTAGACTGTGGGTGAGGTATACGATAAATGCCTATAGCGCCCTGCGCGTTCAGTATAATAACCATAGATATAGAAAAAAAGGGGAGATACGTAATGACGCTATGTAAGATCGGGTGCCGATGTCGCCACTTTTTAGCTTGTGTGCAATTCACACTTTACGCTCTATTATCTACTACCATAACTTAAAGATTTTGATTGGGTAGGGCTTAAAACGTGAAAACGACGCATAACAATTTTAAAATTTAACAATATTAAACTTACAGTCACTTGAATAAGAGTTATATTACAAATTTTAGTATTTTTTTCATCCTGGTTCAGCCATTCACCAATAGGTGGCGTTTTAGTAAAAATACTACTAGTATATAATAGCTAGCTATTACACGTTAGATGGCGCTGAAACTCATTTTTCGTTACACTAAGAACTCACGGAGCGGTTTTCACCCGAGTCTGCCGCGAGACCGCGGCATCTGTAGAATGTAACAGTTAAGTATGTAAAATTAGTAGCACATTTCACGGCGCATTTTACGTCTGTAGTGGTGACGGTTGTTCGCGGTTGCCGCGGCAGGGTACTAGTAGAATCGCGCAGGACGCGATGACCTGCGCGCTTGGCGGCCGTCGTCACTCGCACACTTTGGCGGTCGGTTCAGGCGCAATGTGGTGCAGGCGCACGCAGGGTGAGTTCTCTATTAATCGCGCGACTTGCAATTAACTCCCACTAACTTCGCGGTCCGTTCCGCAATCGCAAAATTTCGTGCCCGCAACCGCGGCAGCTACGTGCCCGCACAAACTTGCAGGGTCGTGAGTATTGAAATAAAACCGCTGTCTAGCAGCACCGGCGGGCGCGGATGGAAACCGCTCCGTGAATTGTTAACCTTGATTAACCTCAAACTGACGATACATAACGAGTGATGTCGTCCTACCTAATCGATAGTTGGAAACCATGTGGCTGTTTTTAATATTAAAAAAATATTCCATTTTTCATACTATATTTACACTGATACTGGTGTATTATTAAATTAATATATTTATATAAATTATTATTATTTTCTTAATGGCGGGCACTAGGCTTGGACCAGTGTCACTTTTATAAGAATAATATAAAAAACATGGCGATCGTCGCCAGTGTCAATTTTCCATTACACGTTAACACGGGTTGGTGAAGCTGTCACTGTCAAGAGTAAACTCGAACCATCAACGAATTTAATAAATTAAATTGTTTTTTTATGAAGGATTTGTGTAATTTTCTATAATTGTTTCTAATTTATTTTGGATGCACAAGTAAAATAAAGCCGATTTTATTTTATTTATTTTTCAAATGCATTTGCTATGGAAATTGAAACAAAGTCAGAAATAGTAATAAGAAAACCAATCCTTCGATTTTCCTGCAGCTTCAATCCAATGTTCTTTTATTTTGAACTCATTGGAAAAACTTAAAAATTAAAAATACTCTACGTTTAATTTACGAGTATAATGGAATTTAAATATCTTATATATCTAAAACACATAAATTCTTCTTCAAGCAACAGCAACATCCAAATTGACATGAAATTGAAACGGTTGTCCGAAATATGAGTTGTGTTAAAGTTACTCGATATAAGATGTTTAGTAATAATAATAAAATAAAAGAAATCAATTTAACGTGAATGCTTTTCGCTTCGATATTTTAGGGACTTTAATTACAAAAATCATAGTAAGAAATTCAAACATTTCAGTAAAAATTTATTGTCGATAAACATCAGTCTTCGTAAATGAACATCACTATATTTAAGTCTAGAAATTTCTATGGAGACAAAAAGAAAACATTGAATAATAATAGA